AACATTTTACGTGAGTTTGTTAACAGGTTATTATATATCTTTTTTTGGTGACAGTATGTCTCCCTGAACTGGGGGTAAGTATTACTAAGATCATAAAGTATATCAAGTTGTTTTTTGCACTCCACGACCTCAGGGGAACTATACCAAATTATGATGTTTCTCTTTCTTTTCTTAATAATTTTCTCAGGAAAACTTTCCTCATAAGCCACCGAGACATTTTCCATAAAAATGTCCCACTGCCCATTTATGTCTTCTGGTTTACAGCACAAGACATCAAGCCAATAATTTTTACTTAAGAGATTTTTAAAAAGATTTTTGTTGTCCTCACTAAAGATTCTTTTTTTTATAGTTTCAGGGCTTTTTTGTTTTGCTTCTGCAAGAAAGGAAATTTTTTGACCAAAGTGGTCAGAAGTATGAAGATTGAAAACCTCAGATGTATGTATAATTTTGTATGTTGGTGTAGATATTATCAATGCAAGACTTTTTGTCCCCATCCACACGTGTATATTCTTTTATTGATGGTGAAATATTAAAAGTATTTAAAAAGTTAATAAATTTTTGTGGAAACTTTTTGTGTTTTTCCGTTAAAATATCTACATTAAAATCCCCTGCAATGAAGACAAAAGAGTCTTTTTTTATCAAATTACCTAAAATTAAATTTAATTTCTCAATAAGAACCTCCTGATCCTCGGTCCGGTAGACATTCATGATAACATAGCAGGAGCCACCCATCATAAATTCAACAGCAGAGCATTCAAAAGTAGCTTTTTCAGATAGTCTTGATATATCTTCTCTTGTTTTACATACAACATCTGTATGTGTATATATAGCTGAGCCTCCATGTTCATCCTTGTTCCGGCAAAAGCATGACATAAGATTATAGTTGGTAATATTGTATGCTTTGAGCTGTTCTTTGTTTTTCCAGTGCTCTGTTATACACAGGGCAATGCAGTTTTCATTTTCAGCTGCTAGAGCATTTAGGTGGTTTATGCTCGTTCCAATAGATTGGACATTGAGGTGAATTAGACTGTATGTACTAGTGTTTGTTAGTTGATTTTTACCGCTGGCCTGTATCTGCCGATGCGTCTCTGTAGATTCTGAAAATGGTTAATGACAATTCCCCTTGGCCAGAGGTTGGGTGTCATATAGATGGCTACTTCTTCTTCCAGCACAGTGAGCTTGAAAGAGCTTTTCTCTTTGTCTTTTTTTGTCTTCATTTTTTCACACATAACATTCAAATTTTTGCCCTTCAAGTATTCAACTATTTCCCCCTCAGTGGTATTCAGGTGGTAGCCAGAAAGGAAGAGGAATGTCCTTGTTTGAGCAACCTGGGGTCCATCCTGGGTCTCATCTGCACCTCGAACAGGATCGGGCCTGGTGCGTGCTTTGCGTTTTGGAAATACCCAGCCTTGATTTTCATCCTCGGTTTTTTCCGCATTTCCCACGTTAAACTTTACTTTTTTTGTGTTTTCTTGTACATTCTCTAGAGGTGGGTTGCGATTTCACGAACTGTGACTTTGTCACTGCTACTCGTCTGTCACAGTCACGGCTTGCTCCAGTCCCAGTCAAGTAGCAGTGACATTTTGTCACAGCCTGGTCCAATTCCGACCGATACAGCGCGGACAGAACTCGAGCTGAGTGATGTAAATGAAATATTAATATTATAAATTGCATCGCGGTCACGCCAAATAGAAACTGCTACTGCAGAGGGCAGGCTGGAAACTGGAGCATCTCTCTAGGCCGTGACTGCGGACTGCGATTATGCCATTTTACGATGTAGCATTAACATATAATAATAGCAGTACGGCCGCCAACTAAGGTAAAACTGCTCCAAAAAATCACTGCTATTTGTCACAGTGACACGACTGGAGCAGTTACGTCTTGTCACAGCTCCATTAAAATCGCAGGTTGGCCCACCTCTAACATTCTCGTTGTCTTGTTTATTTTTGTTGTTGTTGCCATTTTGATGATTTTGATTATTTTGATTTTTGACATTCACCATTGACGCAGGCTGTCGATCGTATTTGGTTTGTTGAGGTGGGGGGGGGGCACTGGTGCGTTCGAGATTTTTGCGGTTAGTGTTGCTCGATTTGCTGGGTTCCGTTTCCAACGTTGCCAGTTCTGTTTCGTCGCTTGACGTGTTTGAGATTACTTCACGGTTGGTTTCTTTTGGCGCCAAGGACTGTATAACCTCACTATTGGAATTTCCATGATTTTCCTTGTATTTTTTGTTTTCCTTAGCCAGCAGACGATTATTCTCTTCCAGAAGAGCGTTTTTTTCCTCCAAGAGCTTGATATCCATGTTGAGAAGGTCTTTTTCATGTTCCCAGGCCTCCTGCAAGGCATACTCAGGTATATGCCGGCAGCTTGGTCGTTTTTGTGTGGCTGCTTGGATCAGGCATGCCGAATAGAAGTCTTTTTGACACTTTCCACATTTGATGTGGTTTTTAGTTGTTTTTTTGCAGTGCACGCACATTTTTTCACAGTTTTCACCACTGATTTTCGCGTTTTTTCCGGACGAAACATCGCTCGCTTGTTTATTGTCGGCCATCTTATATACCCACCCCCTTTGGTTAGACAGAGTTAAATACCGAGTAATGCCATCGTAATGCCTGTAATCAATGACCTATTATCACAGATAGACGGATTTATAAACAAAAATATGTGTTGACAACATGTCCGATTCTTTCTATCTTGACCAAATTCCCCCACTACTAAAATGCCACATTTAGTCGTGAGAATATTCATTTTCTCTTTCTAACGCAGGTATAAAGTCCTGCCTTTCAATTACACTTGGCAATACAGCACTAGACTAAACTCGGCCTCCTGATTGTCATAGTAATACGTTCCGTTCTCGCCCAGAGTATCTCTATCTTATGCGATGATGATTAGTATATGTTAAAAAAAGACCGACACATAAGATATGTTCGAGTTAGTCTGGGAAACTTTTTGAATATCATCGTTTTGGTTTTGAGGCGGGACCTTAGACAAGGGACCAATTGGGTCTTGTCCATGACAGGGAACAGCTGTTGAGGCCCGACTTAGATGGGGCCACAGAAGATCGGGCGACTTATCCCCACCATGGACCGCCTGCACCCCAAATTCCCCTTGGCCAATAAACATGTTGTCAACACAACAAATAGTATTTTAGGAATGGAATACTCTGTCTATCTGTGATCATAGGTTATTGCCTGTAATGCGCAAGTAATGCGTAGTGATGCTATACAATTTGTACATGTATTGCCACCAGTTGTTACCCCCTCAAATAAACCAGCAATAATTACAATAAAATTAACGAAGTTCTGAGGCAAAAAGCGTCAGTAACAAGTCCTGTGCTTGCACCAGCACTACCTCCTAGAAGCAGTGTTGCCAATTGCTCTTGGTAAAATTACTGGCCAGGAATTCCACCTTTACTAGCAAATACAAATTGAGGCCCTAGTTGTTGGCGATTTCAAGTCAGACACAAGTCTTTTTGTATTCACATTTTCAAATCAGAAATGATGACGTCAAGTTTCAAGACTTTGGCTTGAAAGTGGTCATTCTCTCTAGTTACCAGAATACATAGAGAATAGAATTTGAACAAATTCAAATTCTATTCTGGATATGATGAACACAATTCATCATATCCTCATGACATGAGTCAGTTATTTCAAATTCCTATATACTAGACAAAGATAGACTGCTCATCGCCTCATCAGAAAAAAAAAGAATGAGCCCATAGCAGGAGGAAGAGAAACATTTTCCTCTCTGGTTTAGAGGTCAAAAATGAAAAAATATGACAATCTTGACATGGTCAAGACATAATTTCAGATTTTGATCTTGGATTTCAGAAAAGTAGTAAAATTTGATGAAATATTTAAATTACTGGCAAATCACTGGCACCAAGACTTTACTGGCACTGCCAGTGATTACTGTCGCTTTGGCAACTCTGAGTAGAAGTGAGAAAGGTGAAGAATGAATAAAACAACCAAAATATTTTATTTATGATACACGATTTTCTATCTCTTTCTTTTACATGCTGATAGAAAAAGATACAAATAAACTCTGTGTATATTCAAGGCAATTCCACTCATGTATAAATAATCCCATTTGAAATGTCAAAAATCGTAGTTTGCTAGCGGATAAATAGGAAGGAAGAGAAAATATAACTGGATAAAAAAATCGGATAAATTTTCTGTTGATGCAATCGTTACCGTAGTAACAATTGCATATAAAATTGGTTTTTGAATCATCTGTCAAATAATTGTCACAAAAATTCACAAGTTCTATCATTTTAGCTTATTAAAAGTGTATTTTTAAATAAAATTAAAAATATTTTCAACATGCAGCGATTTGGGACAATTAAAGATGAATTTATAGCGAAATAGAAAATTCAATTCCTGAGAATACAGAGTCTTCTTCTCTTTCTGTAGAGTCAAATTTTAAGGGGCAAAATATTTATTCTAATTGTACCTTCAATAACTGTTCATTTTAAAAAGTATTTCCATATTTTATTTTGGTTATGCATTCGTGGAATTGCCGTACTAAATACCATTCGAGCTCAGATTTTGAGCAGGATATTTTTTTGCTTGCTCTCTCATACTTACTTTCATGCAATTTATCTCGATCTGTTCCATAAAATCACTCGAGCTGCGCTCTCGTGATTTTGTCGGAACAGCTCTCATTAAATTTCCTAAAAGTAAGTATTCGAGACCAAGCCAAAAAATATCCGGCTAAATCTGAGCTCTTATGGTATTACCTACGATTATTTTCAAAATATTTAGTTTATTTTGATTTGTCGTAGTGCCTCAAATACCTGTTAAATAATATAAAACAAATACTTAATACTTACCAGTATTCACATATACAGACAGAAAAGTAGTTTTTTAAACATTGTAGCTCAAAAATTGATAAAATAATTATATATTTATATCATTGAAATTGAAAATTAATAAAAGTACATACATTAATTTACATATTTATCTTGCTAATGTGATAATTAAACAATAATTATAACTTACCAAGTGCAGCTTCGCAAGCCCTTTTCAGCTGCGAATGATGTGACCTTTTGATTTCCTTATCATTCAGAATCTTTTCCAAAGCCCTTAATATAAACATCTCTCTGGTTTTGGTGGTTTTGCTATTCGATTGCATCGTTTCAATAAAAATCAGTGGTGTAAATTTACCCTTAATAAATCGGCTGCATTTTCCTGTGTGTGTGACGTGTAGACTTTTCCTTGTTTAAAGATTTTGCACACTCTAACTTTATAAGGGATTATTTAATGGTATTCGGAACACGTAGGCAAGATTTGCCTTGTTAAATAACGAAAATTGTTGTTTATTTTAGGGCAGGCGAAATACATTTATTTTAATTTTTTGGTGCCTGTGTATGCGAAATTTTTTGACATTTTACGTGTTGTTTATTTACCGTCAAATGTCATTCATTTTTAATTGAACTGGCACTGAGTGTACTTCCATCTCTTTTTCTCATCCTGTTAAAGAAAAAGATAGCAATAGATTTTTTTGCCAATCTAATACGCACTTACAGAAAACTGTAATTTCTATTTATTTTAAATTTGACAATCAGCTGTTCTCTGGAACTTATTGTTGTTATTTTGGTTTAAATTTTTTTACAAAATTATGGTTGAATCTTGTTCTGCCATCAATTGCACAAAACGCAGAAAAAAAGGGGTAAAATTAAAGTTTCACAGGTGAGGGTGTATAAATCATCTAGCAAAATCTCATTCAATTCCTTTAAGAATCCCAAAAGACCCCAACTTTCGGCAAGCCTGGCTACAAGCTTTGGGCCGTATGAATTTTCATCCTACAGAACGAAAAGTCGTCTGCGAAAACCACTTTACCGAAGACGACTACGAAATAAACTCGCACGGCAATAGGGTCCTAAAAAAAGGCGCAGTACCTTCAATTTTTAACATCAGTTACCAAACAATGCTAACTGAAATCAGGACAGGTAGTAATTTCAAATTGCAATCTTCCTTTTTAACTCAATGCTATTTAAGTTGAACCAGGCATTGAAATCACCGTACCGATAATCAAACACGAAATAACTTTGGCAGAGAAAAAAGAAAGAATGCTTAAAAATTTATATAGAATTGTACACAGCATCAATACAGATGAAGAGTTTGAGGCCCTAGAAGGCGTTGCCACTTCAATGGAGCTGACATTGAACGCTATACAAGAAGGATACGCTAGTTAACACACCAAATATTCAATTATTATTATTTATTAAATATATTATTATAGTCTTAAACAATGCTTTTTACTTGCAAACCATATTTAAAATTATTGCCTTTAAGGCCAAATTATGGATTGACTGGTAAACATCTGGTTGTTACCTAGCAAGTGCACTAGAGAATAGAAAGTACCTGTTCAGAGAAAACATTGTTTTGCCGAAATCAAGGCAACAAGCTATATATCGACTTGTGGTGAGAGAAAAATGTCAAACCTATACCATGAAAAATACTGTTAGAAAATAGCCGATTATGAAAATAAAAATTACATTTAAAGTAAAGTCTTCTAGCCTCAAATGACAATACAAATTAAATAACCACTATTTGACTTTGACTTGATTCTACAGCCATAGTACCTACATAAGAAAGACTAAACTATATACCTACCTATACAGGGTGTCCAAAATACCATGGGCCATCATTGGTATATCAGAAACTGTAAGAGATACGAGGGCGGTTAAATTAGAAAAAAGTTTCCATTTTTGAAGGGTATTTAAAATATATTTTCGTTGTCGCTAAATTTTTATCAATTTCCGAGTTACAGGGTGATTTGTGGAAAACACCTAAAACAATTTTGGCACATTTTTTAAAAACTATTGATTTTAGAGACATTCTTCAAATTTGAAAGTTTCATGATTTTTTTTGCTCTGCAATATTGTGTTTTGTAATGTTAAATCCGACGTTTCGTCTTCAGGATACCATCATCAACTTAATTTTTTAAAATACGGACCTGGATTTTTTATTTCATATTTTGAAAGTAAATCTAATTTGCCATCTTACCATGTATCATACATGTATATTTCCCAACGTTTCGGTAAAAAAAAACATCATCAAGCATTTTTTTTTTTTTTTTTTTTTTTAATTTACGCTCATTACGGTCCAGCGCTTGTTGTCAGTGTCGGTGAAGGCCATTTCGAACATTTAGAGTACCTATGGGTGCTATGGCCGTTTGCACCGACCATTTTAAGGAAGCCTTAGCGATAAGTATTCTCTCTAAATCATAAGGTAACCTTCTTACTAAAACGATGAAATTTCAAAATTTTTTTTGTCGAGATTTTGTATCCTAATGGTCAATCAATATACCCCAAACTCCATACACTAAATTATTCTCAGATTTGAAGCCGAAATCTATGAAAAAAGGCACTCAGAAAAATTGAAACATTGATAAACCACCCCAAATTGCTTAACACGATATTATCTCAGGAACTATAAGTCCAAATGAGTTGAAATTTTTAGGGATTATAGTCCTCTACTGGAATAGGAATTGCTGAAAATTTCAGCTTTCTATCTCCAATAGAAAAAAAGTTATGATCTTCCAAAATTTTCCAAAATCTAAATCATAAGGTAGGTACCTTCTTACTAAAACGATGAAATTTCAAAATTTTTTTTTTCGAGATTTTGTATCCTAATGGTCAATCAATATACCCCAAACTCCATACACTAAATTATTCTCAGATTTGAAGCTGAAATCTATGAAAAAAGGCACTCAGAAAAATTGAAAAATTGATAAATCACCCCAAATTGCTTAACACGATTTTATCTCAGGAACTATAAGTGCAAATGAGCTGAAATTTTCAGGGATTGTAGTCCTTTGAAAGGGATGAAATTCAGTGAAAGATTCAGCTTTCTATCTATAATAGAAAAAAAGTTATGAACTTTCAAAGTTTTCCAAAATCTAAATCATAAGGTAGGTACCTTCTTACTAAAACGATGAAATTTCAAAATTTTTTTTGTCGAGATTTTGTATCCTAATGGTCCATCAACATACCCCAAACTCCATACACTAAATTATTCTCAGATATGAAGCCGAAATCTATGAAAAAAGGCACTCAGAAAAATTGAAAAATTGATAAATCACCCCAAATTGCTTAACACGATTTTATCTCAGGAACTATAAGTGCAAATGAGCTGAAATTTCCAGGGATTGTTGTCCTTTGAAAGGGATAAAATTCAGTGAAAGATTCAGCTCTCTATCTATAATAGAAAAAAAGTTATGACCTTTCAAAGTTTTCCAAAATCTAAATCATAAGGTAGGTACCTTCTTACTAAAACGATGAAATTTCAAAATTTTTTTTGTCGAGATTTTGTATCCTAATGGTCCATCAACATACCCCAAACTCCATACACTAAATTATTCTCAGATATGAAGCCGAAATCTATGAAAAAAGGCACTCAGAAAAATTGAAAAATTGATAAATCACCCCAAATTGCTTAACACGATTTTATCTCAGGAACTATAAGTGCAAATGAGTTGAAATTTCCAGGGATTGTAGTCCTTTGAAAGGGATAAAATTCAGTAAAAGTTTCAGCTTTCTATCTAAAATAGAAAAAAAGTTATGACCTTTCAAAGTTTTCCAAAATCTAAATCATAAGGTAGGTACCTTCTTACTAAAACGATGAAATTTCAAAATTTTTTTTGTCGAGATTTTGTATCCTAATGGTCCATCAACATACCCCAAACTCCATACACTAAATTATTCTCAGATATGAAGCCGAAATCTATGAAAAAAGGCACTCAGAAAAATTGAAAAATTGATAAATCACCCCAAATTGCTTAACACGATTTTATCTCAGGAACTATAAGTGCAAATGAGCTGAAATTTTCAGGGATTGTAGTCCTTTGAAAGGGATGAAATTCAGTGAAAGATTCAGCTTTCTATCTATAATAGAAAAAAAGTTATGAACTTTCAAAGTTTTCCAAAATCTAAATCATAAGGTAGGTACCTTCTTACTAAAACGATGAAATTTCAAAATTTTTTTTGTCGAGATTTTGTATCCTAATGGTCCATCAACATACCCCAAACTCCATACACTAAATTATTCTCAGATATGAAGCCGAAATCTATGAAAAAAGGCACTCAGAAAAATTGAAAAATTGATAAATCACCCCAAATTGCTTAACACGATTTTATCTCAGGAACTATAAGTGCAAATGAGCTGAAATTTCCAGGGATTGTTGTCCTTTGAAAGGGATAAAATTCAGTGAAAGATTCAGCTCTCTATCTATAATAGAAAAAAAGTTATGACCTTTCAAAGTTTTCCAAAATCTAAATCATAAGGTAGGTACCTTCTTACTAAAACGATGAAATTTCAAAATTTTTTTTTTCGAGATTTTGTATCCTAATGGTCAATCAATATACCCCAAACTCCATACACTAAATTATTCTCAGATATGAAGCCGAAATCTATGAAAAAAGGCACTCAGAAAAATTGAAAAATTGATAAATCACCCCAAATTGCTTAACACGATTTTATCTCAGGAACTATAAGTGCAAATGAGCTGAAATTTCCAGGGATTGTAGTCCTTTGAAAGGGATAAAATTCAGTAAAAGTTTCAGCTTTCTATCTAAAATAGAAAAAAAGTTATGACCTTTCAAAGTTTTCCAAAATCTAAATCATAAGGTAGGTTTGTATCCTAATGGTCAATCAATATACCCCAAACTCCATACACTAAATTATTCTCAGATTTGAAGCCGAAATCTATGAAAAAAGGCACTCAGAAAAATTGAAAAATTGATAAATCACCCCAAATTGCTTAACACGATTTTATCTCAGGAACTATAAGTGCAAATGAGCTGAAATTTTCAGGGATTGTAGTCCTTTGAAAGGGATAAAATTCAGTGAAAGATTCAGCTTTCTATCTATAATAGAAAAAAAGTTATGAACTTTCAAAGTTTTCCAAAATCTAAATCATAAGGTAGGTACCTTCTTACTAAAACGATGAAATTTCAAAATTTTTTTTGTCGAGATTTTGTATCCTAATGGTCCATCAACATACCCCAAACTCCATACACTAAATTATTCTCAGATATGAAGCCGAAATCTATGAAAAAAGGCACTCAGAAAAATTGAAAAATTGATAAATAACCCCAAATTGCTTAACACGATTTTATCTCAGGAACTATAAGTGCAAATGAGCTGAAATTTTCAGGGATTGTAGTCCTTTGAAAGGGATGAAATTCAGTGAAAGATTCAGCTTTCTATCTATAATAGAAAAAAAGTTATGAACTTTCAAAGTTTTCCAAAATCTAAATCATAAGGTAGGTACCTTCTTACTAAAACGATGAAATTTCAAAATTTTTTTTGTCGAGATTTTGTATCCTAATGGTCCATCAACATACCCCAAACTCCATACACTAAATTATTCTCAGATATGAAGCCGAAATCTATGAAAAAAGGCACTCAGAAAAATTGAAAAATTGATAAATCACCCCAAATTGCTTAACACGATTTTATCTCAGGAACTATAAGTGCAAATGAGCTGAAATTTCCAGGGATTGTAGTCCTTTGAAAGGGATAAAATTCAGTGAAAGATTCAGCTTTCTATCTATAATAGAAAAAAAGTTATGACCTTTCAAAGTTTTCCAAAATCTAAATCATAAGGTAGGTAGGTACCTTCTTACTAAAACGATGAAATTTCAAAATTTTTTTTTTCGAGATTTTGTATCCTAATGGTCAATCAACATACCCCAAACTCCATACACTAAATTATTCTCAGATTTGAAGCCGAAATCTATGAAAAAAGGCACTCAGATTCAGCTTTCTATCTATAATAGAAAAAAAGTTATGACCTTTCAAAGTTTTCCAAAATCTAAATCATAAGGTAGGTACCTTCTTACTAAAACGATGAAATTTGAAAATTTTTTTTTTCGAGATTTTGTATCCTAATGGTCAATCAATATACCCCAAACTCCATACACTAAATTATTCTCAGATTTGAAGCCGAAATCTATGAAAAAAGGCACTCAGAAAAATTGAAAAATTGATAAATCACCCCAAATTGCTTAACACGATTTTATCTCAGGAACTATAAGTGCAAATGAGCTGAAATTTTCAGGGATTGTAGTCCTTTGAAAGGGATGAAATTCAGTGAAAGATTCAGCTTTCTATCTATAATAGAAAAAAAGTTATGAACTTTCAAAGTTTTCCAAAATCTAAATCATAAGGTAGGTACCTTCTTACTAAAACGATGAAATTTCAAAATTTTTTTTGTCGAGATTTTGTATCCTAATGGTCCAT